TATCTGTTTTTTTTTTCCTTGTATGAAACCTCCGAACCAGAAAATCCCAGAAATGTTGCTGGGGTTTTTTGTGTATATACACCAATTTTTCACCAGACATAAAACTATATTTTTTAAATAAAAAGTTTAATTATAAAAATGACCTCTTCGGCCTTGTAGTAGCAACTATTATTTACAGCAGCTAAGACCCAAGGCAGTTTAAATTCCCAAAGCATTTTGATAAACTTAATCTTTAGATGTTATTGTACAGATACATTCTTACACTGGTAAGTAAAAGCACGGTTGTAAGAAAAGGCATTAAACATAAAAGGTTGCTGCTAGTTAGCAATGTATAATATATTAGTTCTATATGTTTAAAGAAATTATTGTATTATTTGAATAAGAGTACATCGTTATCAATCTGGTTACAGGACAGAGCAATTTAATTTTAATAGGAGCTGGATTTGACCTTGAATGATGTAATGTCAATGAAAAAACATAGAACTTATGTGTTAAAATATGGGGGATTTTTTGGTTTTACTTCAGCAACAATTATGAATAATGCTGTTCAGGATATAGAAATGAGTATATGGCTACATGCTTAGTGAAGTTCATGATTTCTGTGGTAATAGTTGATTCCTTAAGGGCATCCACCTTTAAAATACATTTAGAATATGGTGTGTAAAGTTTGCAATTCATAGTTGATCTGTGATGGGCAGACCCATGTATTTGCAACCCACACACTGCCAGTTCTGGAGCCCCAGTCACATCTGCCTTGGGCTTTCCGTTGTGCAGATAATTTGCAACTCTAAGCAGAAACATGAACTTCTTTGTCATGGTTCACTGGCAATTTTATCATTATTTTTATACAGCAAGCAGGATGATGACTCAAACTCCTGCAGAAAGTGGCAGGGTGCAGATCTGTAGGCATCTTTAAAGAGACAGATTTGATAAATTATAATGGAGATTTTTCTCTTGTTCTATCTAACTGAAATAACAATAATGCATGAAGAAAAACTTTTGCAGCCATATGGGCAAACCCTGATAAGATTTCATATGGCATGCAAGATTTAAAAAAATGTATTATCCTCATGCATGACACAAGCTTGATTATCAAACCTCCAAAGTGTGAAATGAACTCTGCCTCCATAAAATATTTTACATTTTATTTGCACTAATTCTTATCTGAAATGAAACTCTCTTGAGCCGCAATATCACTCAATCTCGTATTCTTGCTTGCGGTAATTTTTAATCCTATAACAAACCTCATCATTCAGTGGTTATGAGACAAGTTCAGGAGATTAGGTTAACAATCATGAAATTAAAAAAAAATAAATTTATTGTGTTCTTCTTATTAGGATTTAGAGCCCACTTCCTTTAGCTTTTCTTTGCAATGAAGAACAAAAAAACCTTCCAAAATTCCCTCTAAGCTCTAAAACTCCTCCTGCAATTTTTTGAAGTGGGACTTTTGCAAAACTACCAATGGTAATGAGATCAAAAGGAAAAGCATTACCTTGAAATATGCATATCATTTTTGGTATTAAAGAACTGTTAATCAAATAACCACCTGAAATGGTACTTTTGAAATTACTGAAATTATTGTTGGGTTATTATTATGAGTATCTGGAAATTTGATCAAATGGTCAAAGAGTAGTGGACACCTTCCTTGAAGTTAAAGTTCAGATTATTCAATAGGATAAAAAAGAACAATCCACCTCTACTTGGCTCATGCCTAACTTTCTGAAGTGGAGAAGGACGTCTTAGAAACTGCGGTTTATGCAAAATGCTGTTTTCAGAGAGACCCTTACACCTTTTAATTTTCCTATGGGAACTCTAATGTAACATTCCCACAGTAATGGATCCTGGTATGGAAAATCTGTCTTATGATATCACTGTGCTTGAAAATGGTCAAAATCTGTAAGGGAGCTGTAAATGAGGAGAGATTCAATAGCAGAAAAGTGGAGAAACAGATGGATTTGTGAATGAGACATGTAGAATAGGAGTAGGGGCATTGGTTTCTACTATTTTATTAACCATGTACTGTCAATATAGCCTGTATCTGATTTGGACCCTAAACTGAGAAATACATGCAGAAGATCTCCTTTGGGCAATTTTAGCAATAAGCAAAATATACTTTCTCATGCACAAGGAAAATGCCAATTTCTTTCTCTCCAGGGACTCTCAAGGGAGTTTAGATGACAAACTGTGATGCAGTAATATGTAATCCCACTAATACCTTCCTTGAGAAGGTGAGAATAAGTTCAGCATTTCTGATACATCTTTGAATGCAAACCCCTTTTTAGTCAGATACTGAATTTCCAATTTGTGTACATGCTTCGTTATTTTATGCTTTGAATGGACAAGAACTCCAGCAGCAGCATTCCTTATAATACTCTTTTCTACAATGCCCTTTGGTAACATCGAGATTGTACACTTTAGTTACATGCATAAATTCTTCAGGTGAAATTATCAGAAGCCACCTGCACCAAACTTACAACATGCTGCTGAAAAAACAGGATGGTCAAAGTTTCTTTTATCCCAATTTCTCAATTCAGATCTATAGCTTATTTTTATTTTTTTGCATATTTCCTCTCTTTAAAAAAGAGGGAAACAGGCGTGAAGGACTTTATTACCCAAAATTAATTTCTGATAACTCTCTGAATTCTCATATGAATTTTGATGAAAACTGAGTTATTTTTGTAAAACATTGCTAGTATTCAATAATGTTGAATACTTTTTGGAATAATCTTTTTCAATGAAAAATGTGCCTTGAGAAGTAAACCAGGTTATTCTTTATGAACAAGATACGTTGCACTCAAACAACAAGAACCAATTTTGAAGTTACCACTGCAGCAATTGTCTGCATTTCACCAAATATTTTTGCAGATCGCAAGATGTTGGGATACTTACTTGTATGTGGCTCTTACACTTGCTCACACAGATGTACAAAAGCCAGGTCAGACATTGCTGATAGAGAAGCTCTTGTCAAACCCCAGCTCATAGGAGGCTGCAGTACATCTCCAGTGAGATGGCAGTTTGTTTGGCGGGGTCAGGTTGAGGCAGGTGCTGCCAAGGCTGAGCCAGCTGGTGGCCTGGAGCTGAGCTTGCTGTCAGTGCTGGGAACTGGGCTCATATGGTCAGCATGCCAGTGGCTGGGAGGTGGGCTCATATGGCCAGCAGGCAGATAACTAGGAGCTGGACTTGCATGGCCAGCATGTGGGTGACTGGGAGCTGGACTTGCATGGCCAGCATGTCAGCAGCCTGGCTGCATGTTTGGGCTGAGGGGATCTTAAGGAAAGGCCTGCGTTTTTGCAGCTTCGCAGTGGAAAGTCCTCTGCTGACAATTAAAGTAGATGAATAGGAAAGAGAAAGCTGGAGCACATCAAACTCACATAACCTGTTTCAATCTCTTCTAACTAGCTATTCCCAAATAGCTGCAGCTAAGCTATGAACTTACAACTGCAGCCAAAAACTTCAGGGCTTGGCAAAGCAGGGTCTTTCACAGCTTGCTGTGACAGGAGTCAGACAAGATATTCAAGAGGAGTCAGAAATTCCTCATCATCCATAATAACAAACATCTGCTCTTCCACACAAACAAACAAGAAATACCTCTCTCCGTAAAGAAAGCAGCAATGTTCTTGTACCTGCAGCTTTGAGTCTGCTTTCGAGCACACAGCTGCAAGTTAAAAATGTTATTTCTCCCGTGTCCTTTAGCACTGGGGTTTAGCTTTCACAGACATCAGCCCCTGCCCCAGCAGCAGTTCGGCGCAGAGACAGACAACACACAGTGTCCCTCCTAATGAAGGAACAAGCTTTGCAAGAGCTCCGCTGCCGATGACAGGAAGCTATCCTACTCACTAACTACCCAGATATGCCCTTCTGGTTCTCACCCCTTCATCTGTAGCTGGAAAGTTGGTGGTACATTTGTGGTTGAGAGCCCTTGTTAGTCCTGCAAACTGAGCTGTGTTTACAGGGAGCTGGTTGGGAGGCAGAGTTTCAGAGTGCGACTGACCGATGTGTTTTATCTTGGCCAACACTTCCAAAGCAAGCCACAGGATGGTCGTGGAAAAGTCTTAGATGGGAGTTTTACAGAAGTTATCCCTCTGTTGGCAATTTCCTTCGGTATATTTTGGCTTTGTACCTTTAGGTTGAAATACAGACTGCAAAATGGCAAATTATCAGAAGCATAAATAAATTGTGACTCTGTATGGTTGCTCTGTTTTGAGATATCCTTACAATGTAAGTGCATGTGTAAAATATAGTTGCAAACAACAGGTCTATCATGTGTCCTGTTGTAGAAATAACTGCTGGGCAAGTCTGAAATGCTCTCTTGCAACAAACCTTTTACTCCTTGGTCTTATGCATGAAGTAGGCAACAGATGCTGAACAGAGGGGTTAGTAAACCAAATGCTTGCTGTGTTCTTCATACAGCTAAGCACCTCATTCATGTAATAATTTGTTTATCTCTTTAGGTACAGGTATCGACAAAATTCAGTACTGCAAAATGACAGACTGAGGATATATAGATGATCCCCTTCATGATCCACTGACATGTATGGCAGTTGCAAAGCTATAGTGAGCTGACTGAGGAAGTATAACAAGGCAGATTAGAGGGAAACATATTTGGAAGTATAAAAACCTCAAGTGACTTTGTATGTGTTTGTTTCCTAATCTAATTCACCATTGAAAGTAGAAACAGCAAGATACTTGGTCAGAGAAAATCCTGACCAAGTTCAGGAATTAATCTACCATCTGTTAAATGTTGCATCCTATTTCTAACAGGGCATAAATTAAACATTTAATATTCACAGAGACAAACAAAAAACCTGCGTGTATTGGACAACAATTAAAAGCACAAACATCAAAGTAATCAATGGCCACTTGCACTGTTGCAAGATATGAACAGAATATTTCCAGTGTATTTTAGATACATGTAATCTCAAAACCAGATCTACAGCATTACCAATTTCCCATGAATACTACATGTTCATTAGGAAAAAAAAATCCACCATCTTCCTTACCTGCTATTGCTTCAAGACTAGGGATTGCAATAGTGCTGTAAGTGCTAATACATTTACAGGACCATGTGTGAACTAAGGTTTCCTCTGCATTTTCCAGGGCTGGTACTCTGTCCATGAAGAAAGAGCCCCACTGTTTAGATATGAAGTAAGGAGCTTTGAGCTGATCTCCCTGAAAGAAAAATAAATAAATATGTAAGCTCAAAAAAACCCCAAAACCAACAAAATAAAAAACAACCAAAAAACTTCTTTATCCATCCACAAGCATTAGTTTAAGGAACTCTAGTTTCTAGGAAACCTGTATTGTATCTCAGGAACAATTTGACTTTAAAATATAATGAAAGACAGTAACAGTCTTCCTCTCAGAAGTCCCCAAGCTTCTCTTTATGCAATTAATGGATTCCTTAGGACACAAAAAGTTAGCTTTAAATATTTTTCCCCTAAAAAAACCTTCCATTTTCCCTGTTTTTCTCTTTTAGATAGTGTGAATTGCCTGCTGCCCTTCTCTGCTGGAGAGGCTGGGTAGCTGTGGCACAGACTGTAACACATCCTAGATGTCCTCCTCGGGGAAAAGGAGATTCCTGGCGCTGGATGGAGTAACTGTGATGAATGGCACCTGTGTTATCTGTTTCTGAGCTGAAGAAAGAGTGAAAACAGAGCCACAGAACTCATGGAGAGCCACTCAGTTGCCTAGCAAATTCTGAAAAATTGATTTTTTTCATGTATATTTTCAGAAAACAACATCTAGACTAATTATGTTTTAAAGAAAGCACTAACACAACATTGAGAAAACTGATTTTTTACCAGTTCCTCCTGCAACCTGTTATATACTGTCATGAGGAATCAGAGAAAAAAATCCAGGAGACATCTACAGAAAGATGAAAAACTGGAAAAAACCCCTGTGAACTACGCTACAGAAAATCTGTTAAAGTCATTTGAGTGCAAAGTAACTTCTCAGACCTTCAAAGTATAGAAGAACAGATATCATAGTGTGCCTCCAGATTTGTAAACTTTTGTACTTTATTTTCCATTTAACCCCTTTCTTAATAGTTTTGAGAATCTGCTGGAATCATTTGTGTTTATAACAGAGGCCTGTATCTTTTGATGACAAGAAAGCTGTTGATCCACCCAAACAGATCAGGTCAGCAAACACAGAACCACTCTTCTGTGAGTCTGTGTAACAGCTTTTCCTCTGAGCATAGCTGGGGGTGGAGAGGAAGTATGATTTCAAGAAATATAGATACTACTTTCTGTCTTCTGATGTAAATAAGTTGAAAAAAAACTCCTATCTTTTGTTTCAAAGCAAGAATTTAATTTAAGTCCCAGGCTTTCCCCCCCCCCCCCCCCCTTACACAAAGGGACAGCATCTTGCCTTTTTTTTTTTTCCCAAATCTCATCTTTCCGTGCAAATTCCAGGTCTCTACATCAGTTATAATTAAATGTAGATGCTGTGCTGACTTAAAATCCATTTGCCAGCTGGATGACATATGCAGAAAACTCTTCAGCTGTTCAGGTGATTAATCGAAACAGCAATCCCAGTACTGGCCCATACAAGCCTTTGCACAAAAAACAGGGCCTTGTTTATTGACAAGAGAAAAAATGTGAGGGTCTTGCTTTTTGAAATGCATGGTTGGTTCAACAGACAATTAAAAATGCAATCTTAGGACATGAACTGATTTTTTCAGAGGTTTGAATCTCAAAATGGGAATTTCTTTCTTACTAAGAGGGGGGAATTACATCTTGGATTTACAACCCAAGCCCTTAGTAAAACCAAATCCAATTAGATATAAGACTTGTTATCAAGTCACCTGGTAGAAAGCTCCCATCATCATAAGCCATTGCTACTGGCTTGTCTCCACATTACAGGGCAGGTTTGGCAGGCTAAATCTTGATTTCAAATTTGAAAAGAGCTGCCAAAACTTTGCCCACATCATTAGGAAGCATCAGACATCACTCCTACTGCCATCCCTACCTGAAATCCATAAAGTGCCCATATCTCATGGGCAGCTCACATAGCCTGCAATAAGGACAGACCACGTACTATGAATCTCTACATTTGTGAAATGAGGCAAAAGTCTGCTCTTAACATGTCTACTCCTCACATGCCTGGAGGCACATGCTCAACAGTGAGGCTGAGCATCTCTGGAAGATGCACCAGCCACTCCTGCAGCCCCCAGACACGGGATTTGCTCTCACAGCGGGACAGTGGATCCTGGGAAGTGCTGAGCAAACCCTCCTTCTCATGTAAATCCCCAAGGCATATGGGTTTGCTCCCAAGCATATTGGTCAGACAGTAGTAGGTCAAACAATGATTGTATCAGTTGAGGGTACAAAGCCTCAAAGAAAAGTCTAGACTTCAAGCAAATGGTACCAGGCTTCCCCAAGTTGCAGGATCTTCCACTAAATCAAAACACCTGGAATACTTACTGTCACCTTTGCTTTACTAACTGCAGACAAATAGGGCCTGTTAACAGAGCAGACAGAATCTGTTAATAGGACCCTTGGGTAACACTAATTTGTCAACTTACAAATGACCTTTCTAAAATACAAGTAGGCAGGGAGCTGAGCTCTGAAGCTTTTCTACATTTGGTAAAGAGATGAAAAAAAGAAAGATGTAAGGGAGACGGGAGTGGAAAGTCAAGCTGTTAGTATTTTTTAAAGGCTTTATTTAGATGGAGATTTACCATCACAGAATCACAGAATCAACCAGGTTGGAAAAGACCTCTGAGATCATCCAGTCCAACCCATGACCCAGCCCCACCTTGTCACCCAGACCATGGCACTGATGCCACATCCAGGCTCTGCTTAAACACCTCCAGGGACAGTGACTGCACCCCCTCCCCGGGCAGCCCATTCCAAGGGCTGATCCCTCTCTCTGGGAAGAACTTCCCAATGTCCAACCTAAACCTTCCCTAGTGCAGCTCAAGGCTGTGCCCTCTTGTCCTACTGCTGGTTCCTGGGAGCAGAGCCTGACCCCCCCCAGCTCCCCGCTCCTGTCAGGGAGTTGTAGAGAGTGAGAAGGTCTCCCCTGAGCCTCCTCTTCTCCAGGGTCCTGTCCCTGGTCCCCACAGAGAAGACATCAGGCTGTTTTCCATCCCTCCCCCCCTTCCTGCTCCCATCAGCTCAGGAATCCACATCGTGCTCAGCACTCATCTATGCCATCATCTTTGTACCAAGCACAGAGCATGAGGAATACTTCACAGCATCCAATATGATGGATGGTACTGATGGCTGCATGCTTTGTGCCAAGGTAGTAACACCATCACCGACTCCTGCTAGAAAAAATCAATGCTCAAAATACAGTTTTGCTGGTATAATGGTAAGTATGTGAAATGTTGCTGCCAGCACAGCTGTGCTAGTCACAACAACCAGGTGTTCCTAAATTACATACCTATGCTGGGTATGCAAATGGACAAGTTAGCCACTGGTCTGTTGCACAGAACCTGCACGTTTACAAGTCATGTGCAAATATAAAACATTTCACCAATGATTATGGTACCTAAACTACCATATGGATCACTATAAGCAGACTTAAAATAAAATGCATTGCACTGCAGCATATTGCCTTAAGGACATTGTTTTCACTCACCAGGCTCCACAACAGCCCATCAGGTTATTTCTGAAAGTACTGTTGGATTTGTGTTAAACAGGAATAAAGAGACAAACAGAGCCAGAAGGCACAAAGTAAATAGCCTTGTCTATGCTCACAACAAGAGAGTTATGGAAATTCAGAGAAATAAGGGCCCTGACCCCTACAACCAACAAGCCACTAGGCAATACTGTAAAAATTAAATTCTCCCTTCCAACTGCAAAAATGTCATCCATATACACTAAAAAATTCTTTGATTTCTGCTCCATTCATTCCTATAGCCCAAGATTCTTACAGCTCCTCTGCAACAATTTCCCTCAAAATCCTGGGACAAATTCCAGCTTTTCTTTGAGTTTTCATTGGTGGAATTGATCACACATTTAAAGAACAGAAGGCAAACCCAAAGCCTCCAGTCAAGCAAACAAACCCCCGATTCTGGGAAGGGGGGGAAATCTTGTTTCAACACAATGCTTCGTATTTTTTTTCCCCCTGCATGCTGCAATTCACTTAGGAGCCAAGTAACTGCATGAATAGTTTTTAATTTGCTATTCTCTTGCTTATTTGGTTACGACTCATACACTTAAAAGAACTGTAGTTGTTACCATAATTTCACAGTTATGTGTATCTGGCTTATATCATGCATATAATTGAAGGGAAAAGACAAAAACTGCCCATAAAAATGGAAATTACAAGTCCCAATTTTTGTGTGAGAAGGTTGTTTTCTTCCCCTCCCTCTTTTAGTGATGAAACACCAGTCAAACAACTGGAAACAGATTTTTATAATTTCCTTTTGAAAGATGCAATTGCAAATTAAAGTAATACTTTATTTCTTTAATAGCATTTTATAAAGAGTGATAGAATTGAGGTTTGTGTCATGTATTAAGTTTTCAGTCCCTCTCTGCACACACAGAGCAGTGTATTTTTCTTATTGCCAATGCCAAGGCTGATGAATCAGATGAAATCTAATCTGTCTGTGACTAATTTGCCAAAAACACTTGACTTCGTACACTCATTTGAATTGGCTTCTCTCCCTTCCTAAAAAAAGGGTTAATGGGAGAAGTTGCTTGGGGGAATGAAAATAAAACTTTCATAGGATTGTAAAGGGAGACCCTTTGAACTAGTCCTGTTAAGTTAGTGGTGTCCAGTCAACTGCAGAGATATGGATGTGACCTGTTGTTCAGACTCCAGTGAGCAGCGTGGTAATGAAATAACACCACTGACCTGCCATGGCCCCCCTGGTTCAGGTTCCTTTAATCAACACAATTCATTTCTCCCTTGCTTGCTTGCTGTCACTGGTAGCGGATGTACACTGAACAGGGGTTGTGTGTGGCAGGGGTGGTGTCTCCCGAGACAGGAATACTATAGCATCAGTGAAATGTCAAGCACATGTCTAAAAGTCTCAATTTCCTGTTTGATAACTGATGTGATAGAGAAGATGGATCTTGTGAGCAGTTGACCAGAGTTGTTTCAATATGAGAAAACCAAATCATCATCATGGGCTTAGAAACACATTGCTCAATTACTCTTTCTTTGTACTTCCAGGAAAAGAAACATTTTCTGGCTGTCCATTTAAATGCTTAAGAAACCATGGTTGAATAAAATCCCACAAACCTTACAAAAATGCAGCAATGTAGCAGAATCTCCAGTCAGAGAATGAACAAAGTTATGGAGGAGAATGAGTTATTTTTAAAGCATTAATTCCTCAAATCAAATTATATTAACCCATGTAGTGCTACTAATAACTCTTCCTTCCCCCCACCTGCCTCTGACCTCTCTTACCAAGAAACACATTTTTATTGGCAGGAGATTGAGTTTCTTTGTCTTAATTTTTGTTTTTTTGCAACCTAGGAAAAAGCCTAAACATCAATGATTACATTTCCTTATTTCAGTGATAGAACTGTCCTTGTCTGACCTTAGTTTAGAAATCAGGATAATGGGTGAAAATATAAGATATGTCAATTAAACGTAGAGTAATAGATATCATATCTATATTGTTTTAGTCCCATTGAAGATATCCTTTTCTCCATTGAAAACTGGCTTTTACAACACTTCTTAGTCAGATTAAAAACATAACTAGTATAAAACTACCTCCACAATTTTTTTTCTATCAGTAAGTTAAAATAAGTACTCTTTATGATTAAAAAGTTAACAGAAAAATCAAGCTTAGTGCTTTACAAAGCAAAGTGCAAAACCCACATACATCTCTCTGCAACTAGAAGAAAATGACCTATTTATTTAGCAGCATATGAAATTAAAATGCTCCAAACAGAGAGTGAAGCTGCACTGCAGTTCCTACTTACAGTGCTGGAGGTACAATTCTGCCACATAATCCATATGAGCACTCTTCCCTATCTACTTTGTTCTTTGCCAGTGGAGAGGAGGATAAACAATAGTAACTTTTCAAGTTCTGTGGGAGAATTAAAGGGTGCCAGTAATGCTAAGGCCCTGCTTCCCAGTTGTGATCAACATCAAAGTCACATAATTTATCTGAATTTATCAGCAGTTTGCACTGGAACAATTTTGAAACAGTCCTTCTTATCTGAGTGCAGCTGTCATCAAAATAAACAACCTATGAGGTAAGCTGCAAATTAGAAGTTCTTTGTATACAAGGAAAGCACAAGCAAGCTGTATTTCACAGAGAAAGAAAACGAGCTTTAAAACAATCTAATAAAATTTCCCCTGTGTTTACAGTTGGCCACAACACACAGGGAAATGTCATGAACTCAGCAGAATTCAGGTGCTGGACTTGTGATAAGTGTCCATGAAATTTCTACTTGTAGGATGGAGGGCAGGTTCTTGTTACTAAAAAGGAGAAGACTATGGGTTGTTACTAAGGGAGAGCACACACAGCTCTTTTGCTGAGATCCATGACTTAGGTCCAAGTAGAAGCTCTGTGTCACTCATGCAAGGCCTAAGCTAGGACAGAACAGCATCTTCCTGGTAAGGTAAGGAGGATATGTCTGTGGGGGATGCTGATGCTGCCAGCATGGTGAGATAAGCAGGTTCATTCTCAGTGCAGGTGGCATGAGGCTTTTTTGTAACTTACTTTATTCTGTTCCAGGAAACATCTGCAAGGAACCCTTACCTCATATTTTCCTTTCTTCTCCAAGGGCTCAGATTCAGCCTTTGCAGGCACTGTAACTTTGTCCCCTAGAAGCTCCTCTAAGATGAAGACAGTTTCCCAGTTGCTATAGTGACGAGCTGGGAAAATATCTGAGTGCATGCTGTCACCAAAATAAACAACCTACAAGGGAAGAAGCAAATTAAAAGTTCATTGTATATGAGGAAAACACAAGCAAACTGTATTTCACAGAGAGAGAAAAAGAGGTTTAAAATAACCTAATAAAAATTCCTCCACGTTTACAGTTGGTCATGACACAAAAAGATTTTATTTATATCAAGTTTGGGGTTTTATCTTCTACCATCTCCATAAGGGAAAGGCTGGCCCTCCTCACTTCTGCCCTCCAGGGGCACTGAACAGGGATGCCTGACTGGTACCGGGACAAGGGACATCACTGAGTTTTTTGACTGATAGAAATAGCCTGACAGGAAGCAGGTGAATGACTACCAAGAAAATACACTAAACAGGAATGACATTTGGACTACATTGGAAACAAGAGAGAACATGGAGCATCTCTTGGTGACACAGAACTCTTCTGTGTCCAGAGAGGAGTTTACTCACTAGAGAAAATGTGGTCACACCATCTTCAGTGGTATTTTCACCCATCCAGACCCGTACTTAAAATAACAAAATCCTAATTTTCACCTTTTAATCTATTTAATCTGTTTCCCCAGGGAGATTACCTGATTATAATCCAATTCTTCCTAAAGCTGCCAAAATGCATGATCATTCATACAGAATAAAACATTCAGAAAGTTTACATATTCTACCGATAAGAAGACTAATATGCTACTTCCAGTTCTGGGCTGCAGTCTGCTAGACAGCAGTAAGCTTAGCCAGAACAAGAGTTTGTGACCAATCACATCAAAAACCTTAATGAAAGCTTGTCTGGTGAATTCTTGACTGAAACAGTATTTTCAGAAAGATTTACTCTAAACATACCTTGGGATCCAGCTTGCCAGTCATCTTCTTCAGCAGATCAAAGAGCTGGATAGAATTACCTTGGGAATACCAGCCGGGCTTGTCCAGTGACAGCAGAGCCTCCTGCTCCTCGTCATTCTCTGAAATCATCAAATTGCATGCTGTTAGTGAGACCAGCCCATCCTCCTGTATTTGTGACATGTGTGAGAAGTTGCCTGCACACGACTGGTCTATTTTGACATTAAACCAGCTCCAATATCTGGCTCAAGTTCTGGTACTGACTGCAGATTCAGTCAAGGTGTTTGGTAGCTGGGAGTAGGCAGTCATTTGTGAGAAAAGAAGCAGCTGAGCCTTGTCTGCATGGACTACAGAAGAGCTAAGGAATCAAAGTAATGGGCTTGGCCTCCCAAACACTACAGCAGTGAAGGCAGGAAGACACACGGACCGCACAAATGGAGGAGCTGCTAAAAATGTAAGGTGAAACCGTGAGAGAAAACAGATCGTAAGAGACAACATATACCTCGTCATACAGACAAATGACATATGGTTTTTAAACACTGACATGAAAACAACAAAACAGACTGAAGTAGCTCTTAAGGGCATTCACCAGCCTTAGATAAGCAAAAATAATGAGCAGTTCCACTTGTCATACAGTTTTGAAGAAATGATGAGTGGACAATATTGCTGGTGGTGGTGTAATCCACACTGACACACATTCACACTGGCAGTGTCAGTGATTCAGAAAAATCAGCAGAAGCTGAAACTCCCTTGTCATCACCCAGCTGTGCCATAGGCTTCATTTCTAGCTGGTCCCAAAGCAGATGGATCTGTCCTGCTGTCCATGTAACCTTGTCGCTTTTTCAGATCCATGTGTTATTGACAGATGAACTCTTTTTAGCTTCTTGCTGGAGCCTTAGTGAACCAATAAACTAGAATTTCATCAGAAATATTACTATTAATGTATTTTGTCTACTGAATTGGTGCAACAGACGGTTGATTTTGTTATTCAGTCTCAATCAAACATGTCTTAATTTTATTCTAGAGACAGATGGGTTAGAAGCCAATATAGTGTTGAGATCTGACTTAGGTGTAACATCAGGACTTCAATTTTTCTCCTGCTTTATAGAATTCTTCAAAGTACTCAAAATGTGTTAGGAATAAGAGTAAGACATAGGAAAATTCACTTGATTAGAGAGTGTTGGAAGCTGGAATGCAAATTCTGGAGAACAGTGAAATGATAAGACAACTTTTTGTTTAAGAGCACTGAAGATGCACATGAAGCAGTCCTTGAAAGAAATTAGAAAAAGAAGCAAAAAGGGGGAAATAGGTATGTGGAGAGAGGAAGTAAATAATTCTTTAATACTATGAATCTAAGAATTTGAATAAACACAGGATTTATTCTCAGACAAAACAATTCTATATTAAGGATGTTTTATAAACTAGGAAAAAACAAGGAAATTCAAAGTTGACATTAACAATTCATGTAGAACTTGTGTGGCAATGTCTTTTCCTTTGTTCTTCTTCAGGAACCTAATGATAATAATAATAATAAATATGATAGCATCCATTAAAAATATCTTTATTGCCTGACTTTTAAAATACACTTGACCAAACAACTTTTGATCAAGCAGAAGTTGTCAAACTTCAGTAAATTTGTTTCATTTTCTCTGTATTTTTAGACATATTTGCATGGTTGGCTGAATGAGTAGACACAATCTTCAAATGACACAGACACAGAAAAAGAAACTTATGAAAACTCTTTTGAGCTGCTATCAAAAGTTTCTTTGACATTTGTGAAGGTTAGTGTAGTTATTGTCTCTCCATTGGGAGACAATTCAATCAGGAAAATACTGGAGAAAAATAGAGCTATTATGAGAGGTATTTTCAGAATAAAAACATTGCATTTAAAAACAGGAGCCCTGTGTATTACAGCAACACCAGAAGGCTCCAGCAAAGAACAAGACCCTGCTTTGCTACTTCTATGGAAAGGTATAAATGGCAGTCCTGACTGAAACAATTCACTCTAATTACAAGGTAGAGGACCTCTCACTCTGTGAGAGTTATTACTGTCACCCCTAGCAATGGGGTTCATCTCACTTAACCCAATGCATCCGGAATTTAGGCTTCTAATTTATGGTTACAATCTGAACTAATTGGCCAGGATCCCATGGTAGGCAAAAGAGAGTGCAAGAAGCACTTTCTAGAGGTGCCAGCTCTGGAGAAGGAAAGGATTTAATTAAGTTAGGAACTTTGCTTTTAGGCAGTGAAATGAAGGGAAATTAATTTCCCCTTAAGAAGGAGGCAGCTAACAGCATTGAGATGTCTAGTTCATTATGGGAACACTTCAATTTTGGAAGGAGCTTCAGAAATTTGAGAAATTAGGATAGGTCCTTTAAAATATTTGAGTTGTAGGGTCGTAGGGAGAAGACTGTGAATGGGCAAACCTTGCCTTGAAGCATCTCACGTGGCTGCTTGTGCTCACACACAATTTTATTTCTGCAATCTGGAGCAGGACTAAATGAATGGTGTCTCAATTGCAGTAAGCCATTAACGAGAACAGTTTCTAATTCACTTACATTTGCCCTGTGACAAAATTATAGCTAAAAAAAATTATTAAACTGTCTCTTAAGGTTTCTTGTAGAAGTTCTGCCATGTAAATATTGATACACAACAACTTAGAAACCATCAATGACACCATTGGCTTTGACCTTGCATTGTATCTTTGAGATGACAACTCCAAAACAGCGCTGAAGAAATCTTAAAACGTCCTGCAAAAATGCTGCATAAATGTGGTTATGGTTGTTCCTAATATAGTTCCTAATATATCTTAGATATTCCAAGCCTAACACTGGCAACACTTGGTCAAGAGGAAAACTGCTGCTGACCTTCTTTCCACTTTGCTGCTATTGATTCATAGAAGTTCATTCAAAGGTCAGAAATGCTATAAATATTCTTTCAGCAGGAAGCAACATGAATGTGTGGGGATGCTAATGCTTCAGGTCTATAAGCTGGGAGGAAAAGGAGATGTCCTGACAATTTCAAACAGACTGGATAACCAAAAAGAATTTCTCAGATGATTTAGATAGAGTGACTTGCTTCCTTCTGAGGTCTAATATATCACTGCAACCCAGATTCCTGGCTGTAGATTGAAAACGTGTCACAACAAGAAATGTAAAGGGAGCAAGCAAGTAAAATTAAAATAATTAAAGCCAGAAAATCGTTCTATTAAAACACTCACCCAAACCTAACAGTGATTCAGAGCAGTTTTCCTGAGGGGAAGTTACTGTTGCTGTTTAAAAACAACAACCAAAGTTTGACTCATGCTGTGACAACTTTAATATTACTGGAATGGCAATTTGCATATGGCTGTGTCTAACAGCTTGGGAAATGGTTTCTGATTCAGAAATATACCCTCATTACCATTACCAGATATGTTTTTTCAGATAAACCAATTCACTAACAAGACTTGCCTCCCTTTAAATGTGCATTGCAGCTTTAAACATGGGCTGAGGAACATCTGGTTTCATTCTGAATGATTATGCAAAAAGTAATCAGTGAAGCTTATTCTCATTTAAATGACAACTGATGGTAATTTACTTTGGCGAAGGGTCACTGGTTGGGAAAGACTCTGCACATGCTTGCTTACCGCTGCCTGCTTGGCTGTCTATGTTTATGGGTTATACCTGCTGAGGCGGAAACCTGAACACATGCAGCTCGAGTGCTGAGGTGGTGTTCACACAGCATGTTCAGCCCAAGGTCTAAACCTGGGGATCCAGCCCTAACCTGGCTAGCATTTACACTGTTAAAGCCTAGCCTATGGGACAGGGCTCATGCTTGGGAAGCCCAAGGTTAAGAGAGAAGCTAAGAGACGAGTATGAATTTATGCTTCAACAGTGACTCACATACACTAAGCCATACCTACACCAGCTTAATTTTCATCAGCTTACCACCCCGAGGCACCACTCTGCACTGCTCCTCTGGCTGGGTGCCCTGCACTAAGTGTTGGTTACACACTGGGCCAGGACCTGCAGGTGACTCACCAGAGAGCCTGAGGACACCTCGTATCTACTTGACTGGGTAGACACCAGGGTACGAAAGAAATTCCAGGTGGCCAAAGGCCATGCCAGCCAAAGATGTGCTAGGTTTAACTACAGTGTTCCTACAGCTCCCCAAAAGACCCTCCTCCTGCCTTTCTGCCTTTCTCTTGACAGCCTTTTACTCATTTCCATACAGACCTAGTCAGACAGGCTACTAGAGTTACCGTTTTTTTTTTTCCTTTGAGCTGCACAGTAGAATGATAAACATGTGCCAACTCTGTTGCTGCTCATGCCTGTACCTGCTCCTGCCTTGTCTTGCCCATGGGCAGCTCTGGTGGGCTCCCACTGCCTGCAGGCACCTAGCACAGATGGGCTCATGTGTTCAGCACACTGAAGCTCTGGTTACGACTTTGGGGGTTATTGTAAAACAAGTCCATTCTGCAATCCACAACTATCATACTGATATACCTCTCTGTAGTTTAAAATAATGCCATTTCAGCCCCCAAGGGTATTAATATAAAAGCTGGGTTATGTTCTGGCCTCACTTGCAAGCACAGTCTGATTCCTGATAGCATTTTGGGCTCACTTAAGAAAAGAAAACAAGCTCTCCTTTTCTTAAGGGAAATCAGGGCAGGAAAACACAATACAAAGGGACCTGCACAGGTAAAATCCTTCTGGTGGGTTCTTCTACTTGTAAAAATAATAAGATGGGATGATATAAGCTGTAGAGTTTCCCTGTGGGCATATTCTCCATGAAGAAAGCAAGTACTTACAAGTTTCCTGGAGGTAAAACTTCATACCCTACGGGCACCCTTCTTAGGGTACCACCCAAAATTCCTGTGTATAGACCAACCAACTTTGCTGTGTGGTTTCCAGGATTCACTCAGGTATTACTGTGTGTTTTGCCATCCCTGAATTGCTTCTGTGCCCTGGAAGCAGCTGTGAAATCCATCTGCCCAACATGTGCATCAGCACTTGCCAGTCCCTTATCTGACTGCATGACTACAGGGAAGTGATAAGGAATGAATTACTTCCATAGTGTGATGTCCTGAAATAAAAGCTTAAGGCTTCCCAAAGTGACTGGTGATTTTGGTCATCTTCAT